CTGCGAACATTGAAAAAATGTGCCGCTGTATATGGATTACTGAAGATAACCAAAATTACAAAAAATAATATGGCGCCACTCTCTAACTGAGGAACTACAAAGGTTTTTTTTTCTATAGGATAAGGGTGAAAAACGAGCACACAGTCCACCTGATGGTAAGTGGCTGCTGCGGCCCATAGACATCTACATCTATCCTCTATTACAAACCAAAATGCAGATGCGTTTTCACCCGTGAGGACTAGGATGGAATGCCTCATTTCCAGTAAAAAGGGCCTCCGGCCACCTGCACTCACCAAGCGAAACACAGAGGTAAACCTCTACTTCACGCTGGTATTCTGTGAGGTCGTGCTACCACCCCGGTTCGAGCCGGCCCATCCGCGCGACAGCAAAAGCTACCGCCTGGCTCTACCACTGTTAAAAGCTTCCAACTATGCACAATTACCTATGGGATGAAGTAAGCTCCCTGGTTAGCGATGCGTACCCTCAAACAACTCGCAACAGAGGACGGCCACAAGCATCCCGAAGCGGCCCATATACTTCAAAATCAGTTCTACGTTGATGACTTTGTAAGTGGTGATAACCTGATCGATTCCGCTAAACAACTTCAAAAATCACTTATCAACCTACGGCGCGGCGGCGGTATGAACTTCTGTTCAGACATTCTTCGGTAGGAACGGTCTGCGAATCACCCTGCGTTACTAGAAAACTTTTCCGAGGATCAAATCTCTACGAAGAATAATTTTGACTTCAAACCTGAAGAGCCTATGAAAACGCTCGGCCTTGGATGGAATCCACAAAGTGATACTTTCACTTTCAGCTGGGACTTAAAGAAACTCAACCTACTATTGTCCGATATCTCTAAACTTTATGACCCACTGGGCTGGCTGTCGCCAATCACTGTTGCAGCAAAACTTCTATTTCAACAAGTATGGGTGAGCAAGCTACAATGGGACGAGACCTCTCGAGATCGTTTAGGAGAGGTTAGCACATCCGCGCCGCGTACATATACACTCGCCGCGATTATAGAAGATCTTCCGGTAATAGAAACTAGTTCGATAGTGCGTACCATCGCGCCTGTAGCAGACGTTGTACATAGGCCCGCGTCCCGCGCCCCGTCGGTCCGTTCAGTCCGTTCAGCCCGGTCGACAGCTAGCGCGATAGCAAAGTTAAAACAAATCGAGTATAATACCGCGGAGGAACTAGCTGCAATTAGAAGGAAGCAATTGCAAATTGAGGAAGATCTTATCAAGAAGAAATACGCTAGGGACGTCGCTCAACTGCAAAAAGAAGCGGATAGGGATAGTTTGAACGAGGACGATATAGTGGAAAATAGGGTACGCGTTGATAGGTGGTTAGAGAACGTGGAGACTGTGCGGGGGGAGCCGCCCTACCGCCCGTCTCTGCCCGCGCCCCGCATCGAGATAGAGCAGGCCCCGTTGAATAGGGAAACCGGTTACGTGTACGCTGAATAGGGTTGATGAGGAAGTGGTTATGAGGAAGAGGATGCGGATGAGGAACTATTAAAAATACGTTTTGAGGAAGAGGATGAGGATGAGGAAGAGGATTTAACGGTGGTAGAGCTACGCAGCAGTTTATGCTGTTGCACGTATGTGCCGGCTCGAGCCGGGTTGGTACCACGACCTCACAGAATACCGGCGTGAAGTAGAGGCTCTGCTTCTGCGTTTCGTCTGGTGAGTACAGGTGGCTGGAGGCTCCCCCCCCCCATCAACATGGTAGCGGAATTACATGCAAGACTACCCCAGGAGGGTACCAGCACCCCTGGAGAATCCCTCGCTGAGCATCCACGACCATGTTATTCCAATCCTGAGCGTGGGTGCTCAGGCTGTCCCGCGTATTCTGGGGGGGGGGGGCGGCAAAATTCCGCTCTAAAAGATAACTGCTCGGGGCAAACTGAGCAACAATACCAAGGCAATACCAACATCAGGGGACTTCACTCTAACCTAAACGCCGTCCACTACCATCTCGAGACGGCGAAGCCGGCCTTGCTCTTTCTGACCGAGACGCAGGTTTCCTCTCCGGCTGATATTTCGTATCTCTCCTACCCGGGGTACAAACTGGAGCACTCCTTTGTGCCTCGGGCTGGAGTTTGCGTGTATGTCAGAGAGGACATCTGTTCTCGACGCCTCGGCAGTCTTGAAGGTTCGGACCTGTCCATCCTTTGGCTACGCGTAGACAGCGACGACCATCCGCGCTTCTACGGGTGCCTCTATAGGTCCCATAGCGGAAATGCCGAAACAGACCGACTCATCGACCACGTCCAAATGGCTACAGATTCCTTGCTACAAGAGGTCCCATCCGCAGAGATCGTGATCCTTGGCGATTTTAACGCCCACCATGCCGAATGGCTCGGTTCACGTTTAACCGATCATGCGGGGAGATCTGTTTAGGACTTTGCCTTGGCATATGGTCTGACACCACTGGTTACTTCGCCTACGCGGATTCCAGATGTGGAGCATCATACACCTTCCTTGTTGGACCTTCTGCTGACTTCTCATCCGGACGGATATCAGGTTTCCGTCGATGCCCCTCTCAGCTCTTCGGACCATTGTCTGATCCGGTGTGTGGTGCCACTCACGCTCCCTCCGCGGTTGCGTTCTGCAGGTTGCCGCCGTGTTTGGCATTACAGGTCGGCGGATTGGGATGGAATGCGGTCTTTCTTTGCATCCTACCCATGGGGGCGGGTTTGCTTCTCGCCGGATGATCCCAGCGCTGTTGCTGACTCTGTCACTGATGTGGTGCTACAGGGAATGGAACTATTTATTCCATCATCTGTGGTACCCATCGGAGGCAGATCTCAGCCTTGGTTTGGTCGCTCCTGTAAGACTGCATTACGCAGTAAGCAGGAGTGTTATCAAGCCTGGGCTGCGGCTTCGGTGACTCGGGATGTAAACACCAGCACACTTAAAAAGAAGTATAACTTCGCCTCCAGGTCCTTCAAAAGAATTATTGCCAAGGCAAAGTCAGAGCACATAGGCAGAATTGGCGAGAAACTAGTTCACCTTCCTTCGGGAACCCGTGCATTCTGATCTCTCGCCAAGGCTGTCCAAGGAATTTCTGTAAGCCATCACTACCATCTCTGCACAGGGAGGACGACTCACTAGCCCAAGAAGCAAAAGACAAAGCTGACCTTTTAGGCTCCATTTTTGCGTCCAACTCGACTCTTTATGACGGGGGGAAAACACCGCCGACCATCCCGCGGTGTGAGTGCTCCATGCCGGATGTGCTGTTCTCGCAGCTCTCGGTTCGCAAAGCACTTCTCTCCCCGGACATCCAGAAGTCGAGTGGGCCTGACGGAATCCCCCCAATTGTGCTGAGGACGTGTGCTCCGGAGTTGGCACCGGTCCTAACGCGTCTTTTCCGGTACTCCTACTTCCAAGGCGTAGTCCCGAATTCATGGAAGACAGCTTTTGTCCACCCAATCAATCCCTAAAAAAGGCGACCGCTCAGACCCGTCCAACTAAAGGCCTATCGCGATCACCTCCTTGTTCTCCAAAATAATGGAATCCAATATTAACTGCCAGCTCATCCGGTACCTTGAGGATCACCAGCTGATTAGTGACCGCCAATACGGTTCTCGTCGGGGTCGATCAGCTGGTGATCTTCTGGTCTACCTGACCCATAGATGGGCGGAGGCAGTAGAGTCCAAGGGGGAGGCGTTGGCCGTTAGTCTGGACATTGCGAAGGCCTTCGATCGGGTTTGGCACAAAGCGCTTCTTTCGAAGCTCCCTTCCTATGGGCTTCCCGAGAAATTGTGCAATTGGATCACCAGCTTCCTTGCAGATCGGAGCATCAAGGTCGTTGTAGACGGTGCATGTTCTGACTACAAGCCTATTAACGCTGGTGTTCCACAAGGCTGTGTGCTATCACCAACGCTGTTTCTTCTGCATATCAATGATATGTTGCTAACTGATAACATTCATTGCTATGCGGATGACAGAACTGGTGATGCTCTATACACCGGCCGTGCCAATATTTCTCGGGAAAACGTCGCCGAGTACCGGAACAAACTTGTGTCTGAAGTCGAGTCTTTGCTGAACAAAGTCTCGGATTGGGGGCGACTAAATCTAGTCCAGTTTAATCCTCAGAAGACACAAGTTTGCGCGTTTACCGCTAAAAATAACCCCTTTGTCGTATCTCCTCAGTTTCAAGGCACTCCCCTTCTTGCCTTAGCCAGTATCGGTATCCTCGGATTCGACATATCGAGTGACGTGCAGTTTCGTGGTCACTTGGAAGAGAAGGCCAAATTGGCCTCTAAAAAGCTTGGCGTGCTCAGCAGAGCGGGACAATATTCCATGCCGGCACACCGCCTGCAACTTTACAAGGCGCAGGTTCGGCCTCACATGGAATACTGTTCCCATCTCTGGGCAGGGGCTCCCCAGTGCCAGCTCCTTCCACTTGACCGCATCCAGCGCAGAGCGGCTCGAATCGTCGACGACCGAGCCCTTTCCGATCGGCTCGATTCATTGGCACTGCGAAGAGATGTTGCATCCCTTTGTATTTTCTTTCGAATCTACCATGGGGAGTGCTCTGAGGAATTGTTCGGATTAATCCCAGCCGCCAAATTTCACGAACGCACATCGCGGCAGAACTCCCGATACCATCCACACCATCTGGATGATTGGCGGTCCACCACTGTGCGATTTAGAAGATGTTTTCTTCCTCGCACGACTTCCTTGTGGAATCGATTACCATCAGCGATTTTTCCGGACCGATACGACTTAGGGACCTTCAAGAAAAGAGCGTACTCCTTTTTAAAAGGCCGGCAACGCATCTGCAATTCCCTCCCTGGTGTTGCAGTTGTTCATGGGCGGCGGTAGTCACTTACCATCAGGTGAGCCGCATACTCGTTTGGCCCCTCACCTATAAAAAAAAAAGGATGCGGAAGAGTAATATAGAACCTGTGATTTGGAATTGAAATTTTAAATAAAAGAAAGATTGCGAATGGGCCCTTTAATATTTAGAAAGAAAAAAAAGACAATTTAATAGTCAAAATTCACAATAGGGAGGTTGAATTTAACGAAAATTAACTTTGAATCCGTTTCTCCAGATATACGGTTTCGTAATTCGTCGTAAACTAATCCAGCGCCACTGAAAAGGCGCTCACTGGGGACACTTGATGGAGGGACTGAAAGATACTGGCGCACAGCTCTGTAAAGTTCAAAATATTTGGGGTTCATTTTCCACCACAAAAGACGGTGTTCTTGTAGAGCTATTCTCTTCTCTTTAATATAATTAATTATTAGTGACTTCAGGATAAGAAAACTGTCGATGGGTGCGATTGGACTTTCTTCATCGTCACTATTAGGAGCTGAGGCCAGCTTCTCAGATAACATTGATTGTAAAAATCAATGTTATCTGAGATGGTAGGCTCTCGGTATCGGTATGATGAAAGTGTTGATTGTGTTGAATAACATCATGTTCGAATGACTGTATTTGTGGTTGTGCTTGTGCGCCATGGCCTTCTTGATCTTGACATAAAGAAATCAGTTCGGACTCAATACTTTCTTTAGTGATTTCATTAAAAAACTTAGTTTTATATTTTGGATCTAAATAAGTAGCGATTGTGTAGATCTTATTATTATGAAGTTCACCAAAGCGATTGGTAATTTCTTCTATCAATTTTTGAATAATATTCCCGCAAGTTTGGTCAGTATTACTTATATTCTGTCTCAATAGATTCTGCAATGTGCAGATCAAGACATGGATTAGAGGGATCACGGATGAAATACAGGCTTCGGAACTACTCATGGTCTTGGTGGCCTCTTCAAATGGCTTAAGGATTGTTGCACAGCTCTCAAGTTGTAGCCAATCGTTTGGAGTAAACTGTGGCAAATTTTTGTGAGATATAAAGTACTATGGCATCCTTTATTTCAATTAGACGTTGAATCATATTAAACATACTATTCCATCTTGTAGGACACTCTTGAATAACTGAAAGCAGAGGCAGACCCAGACGTTCTTGAAAACCTTTTAATTCGCTTTGGGCAATTATTGATTGGTTAAAATGTGTCGCGATTTGCTTACATTTTGCCAACAAGGACGAAATATATTCATCAATCGCAAAGGCCGCACGTATGCACAATTGCAATTGATGTATATTGCAATCAATGTCGTTAATCTGTGACACGCGGGCCGCTCTTTTCATGTTAGTACCACCATCGCGAACCATGATATGTATTTTTTGACGGGGAATCTCCCATTCCTCTCGTATTTCGTCCAACTTTTGTGCTATCACATCGCCCGTATGTCGTTCCTCGAGTGGGACACATTTAAGAAATAAAGATATTCTTTGAAAGTCATTGTTGATACCATGAATTGTAAAACTCAGCAACGAAACTCCTGCTCCTGGTTCAGTCCATATATCAGTGGTGAAAGATAAGTATTGCAAATCTCTAATTAAGTTTTTTACCTTGTTCCTTAATTTAGGATAAATATAATTACACAAATGAGATGTGTAACTTTGACGTCCTCTTAAATTATATTGCTGAAATTATATTGATTCATGAAGCTGAACATCATGAATCAATCGTCTAAAGCCAATTCCTTCAACAAAATTAAATGGTAAATCTTGAAGAGCTAACATTTCACAAATTAAATTATCCAGCTCGCAGCTTTTTTTCGTGAGATGTATCCCAATACTGATGTCTTTGTAATGCCTCCTGTAAAGTTACTTGTCTCTTAGCCTGTTGAAGAGGAGTCTCTTCCGACAATTTCCGTTTATCAACCGCGGCTTTTTTTTAATGCTGTATCCTTTTGTTCATACTCGGCATATTCTACTTCATGGCGTGACTTGAGATGACTTCTTAACCCCGAAGTCCCGCGTCCTTTCCTTGAATATGTTTGGTCACATATTTTACATCTAACAGTATCAGCGTCCACTTCACTAAAATACGTCCATATAGCACTACATTTTGGCCTCATCTCATAAACTTTTTAACTTAACAATAAACCTAATTACGACTTACGTAGTTCTAGTTACGTACGAGTGTACGACCACTCAAAAACAAAACAAATTTAAGACCACAGAACACATATAACCCTAAAGGGGTTTAAGACTGGCTAAGTGGCTACAGTGGGATGGGTACGCGTACGTACACTACAGTACTACACACACACAGTGAAACACACAATAGCGTGCTGTGTTATATTTCTAAAACACGTTCAAGCCTGATCGTGAAAGTACCTAATGCAGCGAGCAAAAGACGGAGATTACTTTTATTTACATTGAATACGTCAACAACACTTCCTCATAAATTCCTCTTAATTAATGAGGATGTGGAAGAGGAAGAGGAATCGCTAAAAAATGAGGAACTTCCGCATTATGAGGATGAGGAAGAGGAATCCTCATCAACCCTAACGCTGAAGATGCCCAGGGGAGGTCGGTTGCGAATAACGATCAACCACGTCACGTAGATACGATACAGAGGGACAATGGAGTCGTCGTAGAAATGAACCAGGTGGATCGCCGTGTACGGGTTACGTCTCCGTCGCGCATCCAACGCCGCACTCTATCGCCTATACGCAGATCGCCATCGCCACATCGCCACGCGGATCGTAGATTACCGTCGCCGTGTAATGATGTAGGTATAGATAGATCGCCACATCGCCACGCGGACCGTAGATTACCGTCGCCGTGTTACAAGGATATAGGTGTACATAGGTCGCCAGCACCACAGCGTATGTTAGAGGGTAATAGGGATAGAGGTAGGTCGCTCACCCCGCGAGGGAAAGATAGGGGTATAGAACGATTAGCGGAAGCCTTAGAAGGCATGATAAGACTTAGACCAGTCGCCGCGAAGCAGACACAGGAGTTGCCTATTTTCAACGGCTCGGCCGCGGAATGGTTATCGTTTAAAGCCACGATGAGGGAGTCCACGCGTCTGTATGGATTCACCAATACGGAAAATATGGCAAGGTTAAGAAACTGTTTACGTGGTGAGGCTCGAGAGGTAGTATCGGCGCTGCTGTTTACCGCAAAGGATCCAGCAGACATTATGCTCCAGTGGAGCAGTGTTTCGGCCGCCCGGAAGTGATTATTGATCGTGTGTTAGATGATTTGAAACTCCTTCCGCGCCCGGGTCAAACCACCCAGGAGTTAAATTCCTTCGCTATTAAGTTGCAAAATATAGTATGTATTATGCAGAACGTCGACGGCAAAGGATATTTACAAAATCCGATGCTAACTAGGGAGGTAAGTACGAGTAAGCTTAGCCCTCACTTACGGTCGCGTTGGTGCGATTATGCGGAGCACTACGGAAGTGCGGACGAACCGGACATTGTCACACTATCCCAGTTTATGATGAGAGAGGCTGACCGTGCGTTATGGCACGCCTATACGTCCGTAACGCCGACTAAGGAATCGTCCGTAAGACGAGAAGCACCGTCGAAGAGGATAGTGTTGACACGCCGCGTAGAGGATAGGGCCCGCGACGTAAATACGTTCACCGCCCAGGAGGACACCGGAAGTACCTCGTGTATGTGTTGTGGGGGTGAATAACCAATAGCCAAATGTAGGAAGTTGGCACAAATGGGTTTGGACGACCGGTAGAAGTGGGTAAGGGAAGATGGGGTGTGCTTTAGGTGTTTAAGCAGCAAACACCGACGCCTACGTTGTAAGGTTAGGAAGTGCGGCGTCGACGGCTGCAACGCCCCCCACCACGCCCTCCTTCACGCCCGCAAGGCCCGCACGCCTGAAGCGTCGGTAAAATCGGATGAAATCGTGCTCGTCGCGTCGAATGTTAATAGTAGTGCGTCTGTGTTATTGAAAGTGTGCCCCATTACCGTGCGCGGACCGCGTGGTAAGGAAGTTGATACATATGCGCTACTAGACGAAGGCTCTAGTCTAGCATATCGTTAATCGACGACGACTTAGCTCGCGAGTTAGGAGCGGAAGGACCGATAAAGCCGATCAATATTAGGGGCGTAAATAATAGCCAACGCGAGGCCAATAGTAGTTTAGTAAATATAGGAATACGTGGCAAGACGCGCAGTGAGATGTATAATGTAAGCGCGCGAACAATAGCAGATTTAAAGATAGGTTCGCAGTCTGTGAGTAGGGAGTGCTTACGGTTGAAGCACTTACGCGACTTACCGAGTGCGGTATGTTACGACGACGCGAAGCCGAGAATATTGTTAGGCGCCGACAACTGGCACTTAATAATCACCCGCAATTTGAGGATAGGACGCCGAAGGCAGCCCATAGCTGCACTTACGTTATTAGGGTGGGTAATTCAGGGAACCGTGCCGCGGTTAACGTGTAGGGAAGACGGCGAGACCGTATTACACGTAGCAAGCACTAGCGGACGGCCAGATAGGGACATCCGAACGTTTGCCAGTCAGGACGAGGAGCTAACGGAACTCCTCAAACGGCAGTATGAGATAGATTCTATAGGTATCTCGCTGAAGAGTAGGCCGTGTCGGGAAGAGGAGCGCGCTGTCGACATATTCCAGCGCACCGTCAAGAAGGTCGGCGAGCAATACCAAGTTGGACTGCCATGGAAGGACGACAACGTGCGGATGCCACCCAGCTATGAAATGGCAGCTCGAAGACTACGGACGATTGAAAGGAAAATGGACCAGTCGCCGGAGTTTCGGAACGCCTACACAACCCAGATAGACAACCTCCTGGCGAAAGGATACGCAAGGGAAGCCGAGGGGACGGAGAGAGAGGACCCCAAGAGCTGGTACCTGCCACACTTCGCAGTGCGAAACCCTAACAAGCCGGAGAAGACGAGAGTAGTATTCGATGCGGCAGCGCGCGCATGTGGTAGATGTCTTAATGACTATTTACTCGACGGCCCCGACTTATTACGGAACTTACCGGGCATACTGTTTAGGTTTAGAGAAAACGAGATAGCCGTCTCCGCGGATATTAGGGAAATGTTTTACGTGTGAAAATCGACCGTCGCGACCAATCCGCGCAATTATTTCTCTGGCGAGGAAACGAGCGATATAGCCCACAGCGGGAGTACGTTATGACGTCAATGATTTTCGGCGCGAGAAGCTCGCCGTTTCTCGCACAGTGTCAGAGATTATAACGCGCGCGCACACGCAGAGACACACCCGTTGGCGCTTAACGCTATCGTACGTATTCATTATATGGACGACTATTTAGACAGCTATGCAACGGTAGAGGAAGCGGTAAACACAGCAAGGCAGGTTACGGAAGTGCACCAGAAGGCTGGCTTCACCTTGGCACCTGGAATTCCAATCACGCAGCCCTATTGGAGGACAAGCCGGAGAAACTACTGGCGCGCAAGCCTAAGGAAGTAGGCCTAAGGCGAGACAGCCCAGGCAGAACCCTAGGGTTGTTGTGGATGGCCGACGAAGACGC